CGCGCCCCGCCCCCAGCGGCGCCCAGGTGTGGGCGGGTCCCCACGGAGCAGAGGGGAGGGCAGATTCCGGGTCTCGGCTTGCTCCCAGCCCTAGAACAACGCGGAAGAGCCTCTATGGCCGGAGTTTGCGGGTGGCGGGTCGAGGCAGGTGTCTGGCTCCACTCCCGGGCCGACTTCCTCAGCAGCCTTCCAGTGTGATGGGTCCTGCCCAGGACAAGGGCGCGGGCCTGTGATCCCGCATCTCCCCCATGCATTTAAGGGGCCGAGGAGCCCTTTCCCTGGCCGGTCTCTAGGGCCCGGGCCCTTCCACCCGCCAGAGGGAGAAGGCGCCCTGGGGGCTTGGCAGATCTGGTGAGCTGGAGCTTCGGGGCGCTGCAGCCCTGGTGGGGGAGGGGCTGCCCCGAGGCTGCCTGGGACAAAGGCTTAGGGCTCTGAGGCTCCTACCCCTATCCACTCCTGCCCCCAGTGCCTCAGTACCCTCTAAGTTGTGGGCACTCAACAAAGTGAAGTGGGCCTGAAGCTATTCCTCAGTCCCTTCCTCTGCATTTTTTTTTTTTTTTGAATAATTTTGCGAGAGAGTGTTTGTGCTCCCGGAAGAAAGTGAGAAATCACCTCCGTTTATGGGGGCTGGTCATGCTTCCATGCTTCAATCCTTCTCCATTGCCCCCACCTTTTAGGATTTGGGGGCATGTATACACGCACTTGTGTTTCTCAAGCCCCTGGGCTGGGAGTCTAACCCCACAGCCAGCTATGTGGGATTTGGCTACCTTAATCACTGCCACCAGCCCATCCCTCCTGTTCTTGTAAGTGTAGCAGCCAGGACTCCTCAGAAGGTGGAGTCTCGTGGGTCTGATCTAGCACCTCACTTTCTTTTTAAAAAAAATTATTTATTTAATTTTATTATTCATTCATTTATTTCAATTTAAACAGAGAGATACACATACAGAGAGAGAAAGTGAAAAAAATAAGTCACCAGGTCCGGGACTCGAACCGTGGTTGGCCATGTGGGAGTGTCCAGCACCTTAACCACCACACCACCTGCTGGTCCCGCACCTCATTTTTTAAAATTTATTTATTTTTTTGCTATAGGGTGCGTGCGCTTGCCAGAAAGACAGAGAGAGACAGAGAGATAGAAAGCAAGAAATCACCCCATGGGGGATGGCCACGCCACAATCCCTTCTCCTCCTTTCTCCTCTCGGGATCTTGGGCGTATATACACGCACATGTACCCAGTGTGAGTTTAAGCCACCAGGTCCGGGACTCAAACTTCAAACCGCAGTCAGCTACATGGGAGTTCAGCGACAAAGCCATTACGCTAACCGCTGGTCCTGTGCACCTCATTTTTTATAAACTTACCTGTTCCTTCCATGTGGAGAGAGAGACAGAGAGCCAGCACTGCCCAAGAGGGTCTTGACTTTGCAAACCACTCCCAGCATCCGCCAGCCCAGATTCACAGACATGCACACATAGGTTCTCAAGGAGACTGCTTCCTGGGTGCCACGGAATCCTCCCGTGGAGGTCAGCCTGGCAGAGCCAGAGAGAATAATTGTGGTCATGGGCACGTTCCCAGGGCAGTCCAAGGGTGGTGGCCCAGAGGGCATAGAGATGGATTGGAGGGGTTAGGTGGGTGAGATCCACTGAGGGCAAAGAGATCGGAGGGGTGGGGAAACCACTGCTGGCTAGTTTGGCACAGCCCGGCTTTCCATCACTCTTCTCTGCCTCCTCTCTACCCACACCCCTTGCCCACTCCCAAAGTAAGTTCAGGGCCCAGTGTGGTCCACATTCTCAGGACGCACCCACATCCATACCAGGCTTACTCAGGGCTGCAATGCCCCACTGATCGCTACTGTCGGGCTAGGAAGGGGTGCAAGACTCCCCTCAGGATTAGGGGTGTTGGACACTGTGGTCCCCTGGGCCTGCTTAGCTTAGCTGGGCAGTAGCTGGGGGCCTCTCATATCTCTGGGCTGCGATAGCTTAGAACTCAGGGCTCTGGTCTGAGGTTTCCTTGGAGGCTCCTGGTAACAAACAGCCCCTCCCCTCTGGATGCCTGTATCCATGGCAACAGCATAGCACCCTTTCCTCCCTAGGCCTGCTTGGAGCTCAGGCCTCAGGCCTCAGGTAGGTGTTGGGGTTAGTTCCTCGGGCTGGAGAGACACAGGCAAAGGGCCAGTGCCTCTGAGGACCCTTATTCTAGACAAGCCAAGGGCACCTCAGGGCAGACGGTAGGAAATGTGTGGACACACCTGGGACACGCTCTGGGAAATTCTCTGCTCCTCTGGCCTGGTGGGAAGCACACGGGTGTGGACACCCACGTGACTAGCAGTCTGGTGTCCTGGGAGGTAGACACACGTGTGGACCTCCCCAGAGGGTGGACTGTGTAAGCCATAATGCGGTCTGGAACTCTCCAATGTGTGTGTGTGTGTGTAGCCACACAGGGAGAACCCCACAGGTGCCCACTCACAGGACTCAGGGAAGACTCAGCTCCGCCACCTCCCCAAGAACATCCAGAATGGCCCCCACATCTTGCCAGGACACTGAAGACACTGAGGAGAAGGCTCTCCTGTCCCTAACAGATCAACAGCCACCACTCAGCGCTAGCACCCCCTTGCACCCCATGGCTTCCACATGCCCGCAGAACACCAAGCCCCACTCCACACGGATGGGTGTCTCCACCAACACGCGGTAAGGAGGGGATAGAGGTGTGGTCGGCCTTCCAGGTTGGCAGGCAGCAGGCCAAGCCTGGTCAGACGGCAGGGGCACTGACATTGCAGGTTGGCTCCTGAGTCCCTGGATCCCCACACCCTGCGACTGCTGTGGGGGCAGCGAGAACTGGAGATCCAGGCACTGCGGTGGGCTGTCCAGAATGGCCAGGACGCCCGGCACTGTCACATCCTACAGGAGGTGGCAGGGCTTCTCCCCGAGAGGTCAGCAGCGAAGCTTCCCAGTCTGACCCAGCCTCTGTCCTGGACTCACGTCTTGGTTTCTACCTCACCGCAGACCCAGAAGAGCCTGACCCTTACCCTGACCTTTGCCCCCAGTCCTAATCCTTGCTTGACTCTGACCCACCTGCCTAACCCTAGCCTTAACCCTCAGCATGTCAATACCGCTGACCCCAACTTTGACCCCCAGCCCACACCTATCAGAGCCTGACCTGCCCTGGCCTGGCGTGCCCATGGGGCTGGGAGGGCAGTGGAACCCCTCCTTCTCCCTTGCTTGGCTGCCGACTGACCTTGGAACCCATGCCTGTCCCTCTTCCTAGGAGCTCCCGCAATCAAGAAAAGTTTCTGCAGAGCCAGATCCAGAAGCTGACCCTGGAGCTGAAAGAGCAAAAGGAACAAGCCCAGCTGGTGAGGCGGGAGTGACCGGAAGGCTGGCAGGTTCCTAGTGGGCCAGGGGAGCAAGGACGGGGCTGGCTGCGGATGGGTCCAGACACCCACACACTGTCCCGGAGCAGGAGAAGCAGCACCTTGAGGAGCAACTGCGGCTTACCACCAGCACGTTGCAGCAGCTGCAGGCTGAGCTGCAGACCTTCCAGAAATCTTGCCTCCTGCAGCTGGCCCGCTCGTCCTGGGTAGGCCGCGTTCTGAGATCTCAGACTGGCAGTGTGGAGGTGAGCATGCCTGCCCTCCCCTCCGGGCCTGCTCACCATTCCCCCCAGGCCCCCTTGAACTTCCCCCGGACAGCCAGGGCCCTGGGTATGTGTGTGGGGGGACTCTAGCATGTGGCCTGTGCTCCTTCCCACTTAATCTGGAGCACTGCTTAGGTTAAAAAGGAGAATGCTGGGGGGGTGCGGGGGAGCCCTTGCCCACTGGCTTCAGTCCCCTTTTGCAGGTGGTGACAGCAGAGACACTGATGGACTCCTGTGAGCTCTCTGAGAGTGATCAGACCCCTGTTGGTGGGGAGGTGAGCAAGGCCTCCCAGAGTGTGACCTGGGTTCTGGAGGCCTGCAGGAGGGAAGGGTCACATACCTGATGCTTCCTGGACCAGGGCTTCCGACTGGAGGACGTGGACTGGAATAGCATCGCCCACCGATACCCCAACCTCTTCACGAGCATCCACTCTAACTCGGATCAAAAGTAATGGCACTGGGACCCCCTAGGGCCCCCTCAGGGGCCAGTGGAGGAGAGGCCAACTCGGCAGATGTGACCAGGCCCGAGGTCTGGGTTTATTAGTATCTCTGGACAAGTCACTTAAAGTCTCCAAGCTTCAGTTCTCTGAGTTGTAGAATGGGTTGGGGACGAAGGGAAGTGGCTCTGGGACCATCACTGTCCTGCCATGGGCTGGGCCTGGGTGACAGGTACCAGGACAGGGCTAGTGTGCAGAGCCAGAGCCATAACCGACAAAACATGGCCCACAGGCAGACCCGGCGCTGGCCGTCCCTCCCGCTGGACGCGAGTAGCTCAGAGTCCCACCGGGACCGTGTGACGGGTCGTCTCAAGAGCGTGGAGTGGAGCTCCTTGACCTGGGTGGGCACCAGCAGATCCGGCAGCACAGACTCAGACTCCAGCAGCTGCCAGCTGGCCCTGAGTTCTCTAGTGCAGGTGACCGGGGACCCACCCCAACAGCCAGATCACGCCTCTTCAGAGCAGATCCAGACCCTGAAGAACTTCAGTGGAGACTCGGAGCCAGAAGGTGGAGTGGGGCGGGGCTCTGTGATCCGAGGGCCCGAGCCAGGTACTGATACCCACCCTGCACACTGCACCTTTAGCACCCAGGGGCCAGCCAGCCCTGCGGCCTTGAATCTGACCCCGGCACTGCTCCTCTCCCAGACTCTCAGATTCAGGCTGGTTTGACCTGGCAGGGGACATCCGGATGGGACGCTCCATACGGGGTCCTTCTCCCCAAAGGGTTTCTCTCCACCAGGTTTCCAGAAAACCTCAGACTGGCCTGGTGAGACGGCCCTGGAACCTGAGCCCCGTGCAGATCTCGCTCACCATTGTCCGGACCCCTGGCCGAGGTGAGGGGAGACCCCAGCTGTCAGCGAACCACCAAAGTAGTAGCTGCTGTCCTTGCAAAACGCGGACGGAACCGGCGGGTCAGCAGGGCCAGGCTTCTTTGAGCAGCGCTTCTCACACCTCCCGGCCCCAGGCCCACCAGCTACTCCCTGAAGATCGTGGCCGTGAGCTGCCGCGGGAAGTTTGTGCGCGTCTTCAACCAGTCTCTGGAGGACACCGCCGACCTGAGCGACTTCATGCTGCAGCAGCTGGTGCGCGACTTCCCGGTGTGCATGTACCGCTTCCCGCCCGGCACACTGCTGGCACCGCGGCACCACATCACGGTGCGCCCCGCTCCCCAGCTCCTGTGGCCCCCGCCCGCCCCGCCCCGCGCCTCACCCGCTGCCCCCGCACCGTCCCCAGGTATGGGGCGAGGGGACCAGCCGAACCCGGACAGAGCCGTCCTTG